ACACTTAATTCCTCATTGGCAGTTTTATCGATAGTATTCATCCTTCATTACATAACGATGACCCGTCGCAGGTGCGTGATGTCGATCAATTGTCGATAAATTTACGTCATCAGACGTCATTTGGTATTAATAACTTCTCGTGATTACGGGAAACTTTATTCATCAACGACAATATGGCACGCGTGCAGAAGCGTAGATTCCAGCAGCAAGTAATATCAGGAATAGGATTCGTACATAATCCTGTTCCATAAAATGAAGTAATCCGACTCTCTTCGGTTCTAAAATCTTCGTAATTTTTCCGGCTAAAGTTTCGGTCGGGAGCTCGTGTATCCGAAAGTCATCCATCTCGAAAGGCAATAATAGCATCCTCGCCCCAGCCAACCAAGCCCTTTCCTTGGCAACCTATCACCAGGGTTATCTTCGGCCAATATTATTTTAGCTACGTCGTGTGTTTCGCATCCTTCCATCGCCATCGTCGTCATCATCGTCGTCTTCGTCCTTTGCACGAGACGACTTACTGAGAAAATTGACCTACCTACGGCTAGGCAATCACCGGCTCGTAAGCGACGAGTAGCCATGCCCGAAGATAACAGGATCACAGCTAAGATTGCTTCCGGTAACGGTTTTGATATTCAGATTTCGGTCGAAAATTGCGTTTTATTTTTTACTCGTTTCTTGGCTACGCTTTTCCGTCTACGGTGATCGAACACAATTTAATACACTCATTCGTGCATTTGGTATTCATTCGTCCGATAGTTATCGGATCCGGATGAGCTCAACGGAGCGTGTCACGAGTTTTCTTCTTCGATAGCGTCCGCGGCCGGAGAGCTCATCGGGCCCGCAGCCGGCGCGTGAGATTGGTTTGTCATCCGAGCGAAGCTTCATCGTTCCCGGGTATGGCTCGCTCAATGTACCAGCGTCCGTCTCCACCCCGTCTGTGCGGACGATCTTGAGACAATTCCGTGCGGGTCGTCGGGCACATAAAACGCTCGCGCGCCGGGTTGCACGGGAGATTTTCTTTCAGCGGAAACACGAAAAAAAAAAAAAAAAATGAAAAAGAAATGGAGAAAACGGCGATCGAAAAACCGGTAAAGGAGAAAGAAAGAGTGAGACAGTGCAGTGGCTGCTTCTTGGATTTAAGATCTCGATGCTTTGCGAAGATCGAGAGAAAACAACCTTGCGATCCGCGAAGTTGAAAGAAGAAACCGGGACGGGAATCAGGATGGTGGATGTTCAGGGGTGGAGAACTTGAAGGATGAAAGCAGAGTAGAGACAGAGGGAGGGGAGGGGAGGGGAGGGGAGGGGGAGAGAGAGAAAACGGAGTTCGTGACGGTGGTTACGAAGCTCTGAAGCGAAAGGGGAGTTGGCTGGTCCATAATCCATACGTCCGCGGGAAATAAATAATACACGAGCACCGGGACCGGGGCGGACAGCTCCGCCGGATGTTGGTCAGAGAGGATGAACCCCTATCCCCATATCCGAGGAAAATATAGAATCCGAGTCCCTTTCCCGTGGCTTGTCTCCACCCATGTTGCTTCTTCCTCTTTCTTTTTCTGTGATCGTGGAGAGACGAGAACCCCCGTTCCATATATTGTATAAGAGCTTCTTCTTGCCGCTCTTTGAACGATATTCCACCTAACAGTGCGCACTCAATGCGTTGAGAACGTTCACGATGTACTTTCGCAAGATAAACCGTGTATGAAACGTGCGTCGTCGCAGAGAACACGACCTCCTAATTGCACTTGCGAAACTTTCCACGTGTATTTATTTTTCGAGTCAGGGATAAACACTTTTGTGACTTTTCGTACTCCGGACGAGTAGATGTACGTAACATATATTTAAATATATAGACGTATACATGACATGCTTTTTTTTTACATTGCATTTAATTTATAGTAAAATATGCGTTTTCACATATTTCATACTACACTGAAAAAAATGATGTTATCTCAACATTATTTTTTAATTAAAAATAATTTTGTTAATTTAATAACACTATTAATTAAACAAATACGTCATGCTTTTGTTTTAATAAAATTTTGGTTCTTTCATTAACATGAACAAAATTATTTTTACGTAAGGATGTATCTGATATACGGTGTCTACCAAAAATTTGAAATTAAAAATGTGTTAATATTTACACTTTCTATATAAAAATAAACATTAAAATTATATAGATACAAACAGTTGTGTGGGTAACATTATATTTTTAATCAACAACACCTTTGTATAGTTTATTTATTGTATTTGTTATCTTTGTTTTAAGTTAAAAAATATTGTAAGAATAAAAAATAACAAATAAATGAACTGTAAAAAGTATTGTGTTGATTGAAAATATGATGTTACGCAACTGTTTCGTGTGTGTGCGTGTGCGTGTGTGTGTGTATAAATTTATATTTATTTTTATATAGAAAGTGTAAATATTAACACATTTTTAACTTTAAACTTTTGGTAGACTGTCAGATACATCCTTAAAATAATGTGCTGTTGACATAACATCATTTTTTTCAGTGTACCTGTCTCGAGCAAAAAGTTAACTTTTAGAGGATCGTTTTATCAGTAAAAAAAACTTTTTATACTGATTTTACTAAAAAATATCTTGTGATTGAAAAATCTATCAATGTATGTATTTTATTGATATCAATCTATCTCTATTAATATATATATTGGCAAATTGTTTTTTCGATAGTTTTTGATCTCATTCGTGTCGGAATCTTGTAATAACGAACTTCGAATTAATGCACAAAATCCCTTCTATACGCGCTTAACGCATGTGAATAGCATGAGTGGGATAATAGAACCGCGACTCCCAATAAGAGACCCTGAATTTCATGGTTTTGAAGTAAAGTGGGGACAACTTTATTACATTCAGAGCTATGAACCGCGCACTATTACGAGATTTCAGTGTTTAATGCTACATAATTTCCATCTTTAGTATTTAAGTGTAATTAATCTACACAGATCCCGAATTTAATTTTAAAGTGAATGTTGTAAATATATGTAATTTTCTTTAGAGAGTTAAACTGCAGGAAAAAATATATTTCCGTTAAATTTCAAGAAAATAAAAATTCTTCCTCGCTTTACGCGAGGATTAGATATTCTTTTTTTTTTTTAAATTTATGTAAAGAAAGTAGCAAATCATGGACTTTGCAAGCAATTTTGCTCTTGACTTGCTTTCTGAAATTGAAAGAAATCTGTGCAAATATAAAGAGTAGAAATGGATAATAAAATCGGCTGTTTTGTAAACGAGTGACTGCACTTATTTAAATCAGTCAGTAACTTTTCTAGTTAACATTCAAAGAATAACGAAGTCATGAATTGTTCTTGCCTTTTGTTGCCCGATGACCCGAGGGTTGGCCACGAGTGAATTTGCTATATCCTATGGTTCGCTTCCTTCTGTTTCGTTCAGTCGTCTTTTCAGTCTTTGATCTTGCATTCTGTCTCGACGTGGTCGAAGTTCTCAGTGGTTTTCCTTACGAGTTATGAATTATCTTTCATGCATTTTCGCCGCCTGTGTGAGACAGTGAAGGCTTTCGCTGTCAAAGCTCATCTACAAATTTAACAGACTACGTCCAACCAGAATTGCATAATATAGCTTGTATTTCGTGAATAAATGCAGCAACGGTGCTGCGGAGAATAAATATTTCGTTAAGCGATACACGATGCATGCGATGCTCCTTTGACGTTGAACGCCGCCGACGAGAAAACCGCGATTCTATAATGAATGGCATGCGAATGAGAAAAGTCGTAATCGTGAAAGGGCGCTATAAATAAGAAAAACACGTTACATTCTTAAAAAGAAATTGTATTATTTTTTTTTAGATTTTCTATACTATACAAAATATCCGCGAAATAATGTGACGGTGTTAAATTCTGCAACATACAAAGGCACAACTTGAGCATTGATGAACTCTTATAAATGCTACATTATACAGAAACAACACTGGATATGACTATACCTAACCAAAATCAAGATTGCTTATAATTTCATAAAAATGACCATATTGCACTAAAAGATGAAATTTTTGTATTTATAAAACACAGTGTATAGACATTTTTTTTTATCGAGCTGCCAGACAATAAAAAACTTAACAGAAGCAAGCAAATCTTGTATTTTTATTAATAAAAAAGTTATTATATGAAGAAGCTTTATTTTTATAGTTATTACTACAATAATTTTTTATATTAATAATAATTACATTTACAGTTCTATCAATAAATACAGTTGGCACGAAAATAATTATAAATTATAATTGTAGTAACTATGTTTTATCCCAATGTAAATTCTCTCTCTCTCTCTTTACAGTAATTACATATAGGCCGATTAATGTGATCTTAAGAGTCGAAAATAGAAGTTCTTGTGATGATGACGCGAAGGAAACGAAAGTTCTCATAGGGATTAATTATTAATATCTCGCGAAAGAACTCTTCGCTCGAACGACCGCAGCGTTTTTCCGCGTCCGAGAGTCTCCGTTAAGTATTTAGATTCAGACCTATGTTAAAAGCGTCTTATTGCTATACGCTTCTGACCCGTTTCTTTTGACGCCAAGTCCGAGATTTATCAGCGCTCTAAGGACGAGACATCGAATGGGATTTTGCTGAAGATCCGCTTCTTTCCACTTTTTAAGTAATCGAAAGATGCTCCACGCGATAATTTATTTCAATTCCCCTCAAAGCTCCGAGGATAAAATGAGACGAGCGATTAGTCTTATGGAATACTGAATCGTACAGCTTAATATTATTTTGTAAAATTACAGCAGCACTTTTGCGATTTACATGTTGCGATAATTTTGTTATTGATGCTTTGAAAATATGTAATTAATAATATTCGAAGGTCGTCGTCGTGGAGCCATACGAAAACGCGCAACGTTCGCAATAATTCTAAATTACGTTATTGTTCGCTGACGTAAAATATACGTTGTTGAAAATGGATTTATTGAGAAGTCGTCGTGTAAAAGAGTTATTTATATCACGCAAATGTATTTTCTCTATTGTTGCAGAGGGGTAGTGACGAGCTTCTATCGCAAAGCGGGGCAGTCAGCAATGGTGCTTCAATGAGTCCGCAACCTCATCACGCAGCCGATAACAACAATGACGCCAAGAAGGTGAGTGATTTTAATTAAAATAAAATGCAGTGAGCGGAATTCGATATCGTCAGTGTCAGATTTCACAGAATCCAAAGATAGCCTCTGAGGCTTTTGTTTTTGACGGTAGAAAAGAATCTTCTGACAATCTCATTGGAATAATTATCGTTTATCATTTATAGTTTTATTTGATAATAAATGCAACGAGATACTGCAGCAAGAAAATCAGAATTTGAAAAAGTTAAGCCGTTTTCCTAATATGTATTATTAAAAATTTCATTGACTTTGATATTTGATCCTTTTACGGTCAAATGATTTGATTCATAATTTACTTTGATGGATCTAAGGTTCTTAAATATCTATTGCTTAAAACGAAAATCGAAAAAATTTAGCCGTTTTTGAGAATTTTGCAGACAAATAATTAAACGGATGGACCAACACTGTAAAATTATAAAGCAGTTTGCTACGTTGCACTATTTAATAATTTTAAAGAACTCTAAGAAATGGATGGTCGCGTAAATCCGCCGATATTTTATATTTCGTCCCTCTTCGAAAATCCCTCTTTTCTATTTCGGCGACTGTAGTAATACACGCAACACGACCGAATAAAATACAAGGAACGCCGATAACTTCCTTTTCGGTCCGTCCATTTCGCCGATGGCGAGAGCGGTCGTGCGGAGCTTTTTGGAAGAGCTTTTTTTCTCCCTTCCAGCTACCTCGGCGGCGAACCAACCGCAACCAGAACGCGCAACGAACCATAAATCATTGCATACCAAAGAGAAATTCGTATGCAGTGACCTCGATTGAAATGCATCCATTGAAATCTGATCGGTCGCTTTCGCGTCCCCGAAGAGTTCTCGCGTTCCTTCCGGCCTTCCCAGTTGCGACGAACGCGCGTATGGCTGTCCATCAAAGGGATTGGGAATCGTTTTTTCGGACAAGTCGACTAAAGCTGAATCGTTGCTCGTAGAAATTTTTAACAAAACGAGATGGACACAAAAATACTGGCGAATGAACTCGCGAAAGGGAAACTTAAAATTTTTCACACAATCTATTAACGTATCGGCGCGCGTCAAGAGATACGACAAATATTAATTAGCCTCGTGTGTGCGACGTCGACAGTCGTGAGATAATCGACTGTCGTCGGACGAAGAGAAATTATCGACGTGTAGTTCCACAGGAAAAATTAATTCCTGGCGCAGCCCTTGCACGTCACCTCGAGCCGATGAAAACTGCAGCAGAAAGAAAGTGGCCATCCGATAGATAGAATCTGACGATTATTAATCGATCTACTTACAGGTTCAGCATCGGTGAAAGAATGGATGATTTTGTGAATGCCATTAAGCAGTCTATTTATGTCTCACTAAAATTGATAGTCGGGTCAGGTGTAAATATTTTATCGGAATATTTCGACGGGACGTTAAAAGTCGACGTCAGGAATGGAGAGAAGATAAAGAAAGGATTCCACACTAATTAAATGGATAATTGAGTTCCGACGAAATGAGTTACTTTTTAAATATAAAACGATGTCTGTGTAATGAGATTTTAAGGCGTAAAACTTAAACTTCAAACTTTAAGCCGTGACAAATTGACCAATCATATTAATTGATTATTCTACACACATTTGACTGTGATTAACCAATTTTTTTACAGCTTAAGATTTAAAGTTCAAGTTTTACACCTTAAAATCTTATTGCAGTCGTCACTTAACGTAGCTTATATCTAGTGATGAACAAAAAATATAGATACAAAACTTAATGTGGATAGCTTTTAAGATACGGTGTGTCAAACTTGTACTCACAGAGCATCTTTGATACATCATTATGATAGCTCTTGTTTGCCACATTATAAATTACATTTTATGATAAAAACTTATTTCTGGGACACAATTTTTTACATTAGTGCAAAATTCTTTCTACGAATATATGTTTAGAGTTTCCAAGAGATTGAAAAAATTCACGTCTTAAGAATTAAAAGAGGCCGACATTCGTTTCCGTAAGAGAAGGGAATAAATAGATACGACCTTTTAGCGTGGTAATGTACTATACCTTAATTAATATTTTGCGGGCTTTCGAGGCGACAGCCGTTTACGGCTCAAGCTCTGCTGCCACTGAGGAGGACGAACGGTACTTTTCTCGCGCACCTGCTCTCGTCACGTATGCTCAACGTCGTCACATGTCGTTTCGACGAAGAACGGTGAAAAAAATGGTGAAATTTCCGGGGACGCGAATGACGACGACGACGACGCCGACGTGTCTGAAAACCGCATGGAACGCCGGGCGTGTCTCGGATCACTCGGTTGCACGTGCAGCCGCTGGATGTGCCGAAAGTTCGACCTCGTTCCTCGCGTCGTTAATCATTTTCCGTATAGCTGGTAAACAGAAGCAAACCGTGGCGCGATACGTGTAAAGCGTTACGCGGCCGCGGGCTTTCATTTTCCGTGGAATTTACCGAAATTCCTGTTTAACTGAATCCACGAGTTTGCGTCACTGAAAAATGCCGATACGGTTTGATTAATAGCTCGGTTGGAACGTAGCCCCCATGCTTTCGTCCGTTCGTATTTTAATCGGGAAACGTAATGACCGATGCACTCTTTAAAACCCCTGAGTTATCTTTTCGCACATGTTTTTATAAATTACGAAGAGACGTGTGGCCATTTAGTGTGTGGCATAAATCGACGTATCGGGCAGTAACGCCGTGCGTTATTTCTCCCAACGTTACCGTCATTTTTGATCATGACAAACAATGCCATTTGAAAATGTCAGAGCGATCTTAATAGCCTCGTTAAAATAACTGCCGGAACGAAGCCGGTTCCCGCCGCGGCCAGTCTGATTTTTTATAGCGGTTGAATAGACACGTCTAAAATATTATTTTGCACCGCTCACATTTTAATCACACTAAATGCATTTTAATTATCACGAAATGCCCGTCGCGAATAATAATAATTTTCAAAGCGTTCTTTGATACATTAATATTACTTCTTTTGCAGAAATTAAATGCTAATTAATTTTACCGTAATTATATATCTGCTGGCACCACGTTCCTTTCCTTGTCACAAACAACAACGAGTGATACTGTTTTACAGAACATTTGCGGAAAATAATCATATCATGGCGCCTGATGTTTTTCAAACCACGAGTTGCACAAATATCTCGGTGAGAATGCGAGTGCATTACAATAGCGCAACATGTAACGCAAAACCGTTGTGTCTATCGACGATCGTTAATGTTCGTGTGTTCCTTTCTTTTTTTTCTCTCTCGGACATGTGCTTTTTACGCGCGACGCAACGTCGCGACGCGCGAGGACGGAGAGAGCGATGTAGAGATTCGGTGACAAAGCCGAGCCCTTCGCCTTTTACTTTGAAAATGTACACGCTCTCTACTTTTCGACGGTCTCGTACGACGAGAAAAACTCGAGGAAATTATTAGCCGTCGTCGAGTATATGTATACTTCGCGTTACTTGAAATTGCAACATTTACGGAACACGCGAGAAAATTCCGCGAGAAATACCACGCGAGTAGTTGTATTGAAGCTAACTTGCCAGATTGGCGCGTGTAAAACAACCTAAGTAAGAAATTACGTAAAAGATCTGGGATTTTTTAAATAAGATTTTAATAAATATTCTGTATAAAAATGAATAAAAAAATAAATTTTAAAGGACTATCAATGTAACAACATAACTAATACGAATACGGAGCCTGTAGCTGGATCTTAGTTGCTTTATATATAATTTCGTGTGAATTTATATACTGATATATATGTAGTCTTTTCAAACTGCGCGCCGAACAATTGTCGGTCTTGAAACGCAACTTTAATAAACCACCGCAGTACTATCACGAATTGATTAACAATTTAATAATTATTTGATGATTTTTTGGCATCTTATATCGATCTTTAACGACGTTAAAATTTGAAAATAATTCTTATTGCAAAAAATATTACTAAAATATGAACACAAAATTTTAGACGTATTTTTATTTTATTTTGTGAAAAATAAGCTGTTCTTGAAAAGATTTTAAAAATTCGTAGCTGTTTTGTATTTACAATTCAAGTGACAATTTGTCGGCATCTTTCCTAAACATAGCTCTGTAACCTTCTGTCGATTGCTGAATTGACCCTGGCTAGAGTAATTTCGCCTCCAACTCAACGCGGTATATATTTCGGGACGTTGTCATAACACGTATGTCTCTCTCAGTTAATATAAATTGGTATTTATACTGAGAAAAGGCAAGAGGATGCTATTTATCAGTGAGGAAATCGAACTTGTTCATCACGACCGTATTAAGGATGAAAAAAGCCGATTTCTTGGAAAGAAGGGCCGCGGTATCGTGATTTCATTCCAAATAAAACAGCGTTTTCTTATCATATATATTTGGAAGACATGGGCAAGTGCACTTTCATTTTTTCTCTTCGAAATTCAGAAGCTAACCGAAGTACATCAACCGCTCGCTATCATTGCGTGCGTGCGATATAGGTGTGTATACATCACATCGGCTATTTTTCCCCCTCGACGTTCACTCTCCCTTTCTATTTCGAGACCTTCCCTTCCTTTATCTCGTTCCTTTTTCTACCTTTTTGCACCAGAATCCCTCGTGTACTTTTGATGTTTGTCTTTGTGTTTCATCGAAACTCTTCGACATTTTACTGACCTAAGAAAAGATTTTCGAAGTTTTTATATTATTTCTTTATTAAAATTTAAATGACTTTTTATCTCTCATGCATTAAAAATTTACAGAAAAGTTATACAATTTTAGCAGAAAGTTTAGGCGTGTGAAATTTTTTTATTTATCTGAAATTTTTATCTGAACTATGTATTTCATATTAATTGCCGATATTACATATAAGTTTAAAGGGATTTTCTTTTAAACAAAGAATAATTTACAGTAAATGTGCTAAAATCAATTTTTGAACTAAAATGTTAAATAATAATAATAATGATTAATAAGATGCCTACAATTAATTTACATTTTTTATTTATGTATAATACGCATTGTAAACGTATAAAAATGCGTTTATAAAAA